CAGGGGCTCTGGGCTGGAGGGACCCAGCAGAAGACCTGGGAAGGTTGTGGGTGGCTCTGGGGAGATGGGAGAAAGGTGTATGGTGGTAGGCTCTAGGGGGATGGGAGACGGGAGTCCTGGGAGGGCTAGTAGGAGAATGTGGGGGGCTCTGGAGCACTGAAGGGGCTGGCAGGGCACAAGAGGGGTCAAGCTGCCAAAAGGTAAGTCCCTGGTTGGAGATGCAGGAGGATGACCAGGGAGGGCCCGGCCCTGCCCCCCCATGGGCACTAACCTGGGGACATTGCTTTTTCCCAGCCGGGGCCCCCCCGAGGCAGACGAGCTGATGAAGAGGGTCGGGTTCCAGTACGAGGGCACCTACCGCTGGGTGAATCCGCACAAGCTCTGAGCCGGGGGCAGCTGTTGCCTCCCAGAGCAACTCGGGGGGCCACCCATGCCGCTTGCTGCTCCCATTGGGGCTCCTGGAGTGGGGATGTTGGGGGCTGGGCATGGCATGCTGGTAGAGAAGGGCAGGGGGGAGGGAGCCGGGCATGGGGCATTCATCCTACACAGTAACCCAATTAGCCAAATAGGTTGTGATCCCCTTCCCTTCCCTTCCCTTCCCTTCCCTTCCCCTCCCCCTCTCCCTGATGTGGCTGGGGTCCTGGCCCACACAGGCCTCCTGCAGAACCCCCCCATCCCATTTACATCCTCCTTCAAACCAAACTGCCCGTCCCTGCCCTGGACCTAGAGCCCCCTGCTTCTGGGACCAAGCTGGCCCTGGCATGTTTACAGCCTGCCCCTCTTCCCCTGCCCTGGTCTCTGGCCCTCCGGATCCTGCCCCACACAGGATCCTCTCACTCCAGAGGGCCCAGGTGCTGTGCGTGTGTGCTGTGTTGCTGAGACATTCCTGCCCTGTGTCTGGGCCTTTTGTGTGCAGCGCTGATTTGTAAAGAGATTGTTGGGCCCAGCCTCGTCCCTGTGCTTCCTCTGTCCAATCGTGTGGCCCCTCTGTCGTGGGTGGCTGCCGGCCTTGCCCTGGCCTTGCTGTAGGGTTTCTGGAAACTTGCTCAGCTCACATGAAAGCCAGGACTCAGTGTTAAATCTGAGGCCAGTCTCCATCAGGCTCAGCCCCCATGCATATTACGCGACCCCTCCCCCCCCACACACACACACACACAGGCCTTTGCTCTCCTTTTATTTTTGGCAGCTGCCCCTTTGTCAGGAGCCCTGGGCCTGGGCTGCCCTCCAGTGTTGGGGGGAGCGGAGACCAAGAATGGAAGGGTTGAGGCTGAGCTGTGGCTCCCTGGCAGCCATCTGCCCCTACAGGCAGCGGCGCTGGGCCCCTGGTTCCAGAGCATCACAGCAAGGGGTGGGAGCTGTCCTGGGCAGGCCCTGCATGTCCACACACACCCCTCGGCACCAGCCAGGCAGGGCCGATCCCACTGCCCCAGCAGGGCCCAAATCCAGCGGGGTTGGGCCTGGCCTCTCCACCTGCTCCAGTGTCCTGGTAGGTTGCAGCTCCAGGCAGCCCCTAGGCCAGGCCCAGCTGCTGTTCGATGCCCCGGGCAAAGAGGTGGACGAGCTGCCTGTGCACCCTGTGGAGGAAAGTGGCCATCAGCAGGCTGCCCAAGGAGCTGGGTGCCAGCAGTGGGAGGGAAAAGAATAGAATCAGGTCGGCCCTGCCTGAGGGAGGGACAAGCTGCTGGCCTGCCCCCTCGCACGGGACAGGCGGGGGGGGCCTGAAGGCTAATGCAGAGTTAGGCTGCCAGAAGGGCCATAAGAGCCCCTGCCCGAGGCAGGCTTATGTGATGAATGGGCCAGGTCTGATGGGGGTCTAGCCCGCTCCCCAAGCCCTCAAGGGCTGCATGGGGACTTGTGCCAGAGCTTAACTACCCTGCCACTAGGCAAACCTGCCTGGTGCCTGCCCATAAATGCAGCGTAAGCCCCTGGCTGCTTGTCCTAGCCTCGGAGGGGAAGAGGGTTAGAGTTTTCTGCTCCTCCCCTCCCTCCTCTTGGAACAGCCCGTCACGTCCAGGGAAACCGTTCTCATGTCCTTTCCACCCAAGCCCAGGCATCTGCCAGCCTTCAGCGGGCCTGTCTTCTGGCCCTTGCTCGGGTCTGCTGCGTGTCACTGGACTGTCCCCTTTGCCCCTCTTGCCCAAGCTGTGTAGCCCAGGTTCCCAGCTCCAGCTGAGGCCTGGTCTGCATGACTGGCACAGAGGAATTACTGCTCATGCCACTCCCGCAGAGCAGAGAAGCCCCAAACGTCCCCTCACATGCTCCGGGAAGCTCCCATAGCAGCCTACCGGGTGGCTCTTGTGCCACTGCACAGGGGCATGTGGACATAGGGCTGGCTGTGGGGTGTCCCCCACCCTCCCAGGGGCTCTGTCTGCTCACCTGACGCTGATATCGGCGTGGGGCAGGGTCTCCCCATCACAGCTCCAGCAGCTCAGGGGGTGCTCCGCCCAGCACAGCCCCTTCCAGCCCCTGTGCGCTGGCTGCCCCTGCTCCTCACTCTCCTCCAGCTGGCTGGGGGTGAAGCGCAGGGCCTGCACTCGGTGCACACTCACAAAGGGTAGGTCAAACTGCAGAGAGCAGAAGGGCTGGACTGAGCCAGAGGCCTCTCCCTGCCCACCTGGGGCCACCCCCCATCAAGATGCCCCTGCTGTCCTGGGGCCAGACACCCCAAAGCAGCAGCTCCAGCCTGACCCCTCCCTGTGACCTGGTGCCTGCTGACCCCGTGGGTCTGTTCCCACCATCTCCCTTCCCCGCCTCCACTCTCTCTGTTACCCGGGTCTGGGCCAGGCCTTCTTCCTGCTACTCAACCTTGGGGGGGGTCTCCGTGTAGGACCCCAGGTCTGTCCCATGCCTCCCTCCCAGTACCGGGCTCTGAGGGAGGAGTCACAGATCTCCCTCCCCCCCAGTACCTGGCTTGGGGGGAGGGGGGGTCTGTGCAACGCCCATACCTGGTCTCGATGGTCCATGTGCCGACTCAGGTGTCGCAGGAAGCCCAGGGAGGAGCACTCGCGCACCAGGATGAGGTCAGCCGAGCCGTCGGCCAGATGGGCGCTGGGGGACAGGCCTTCGGGGCTCTTAGGGCAGGCACTGCTCATGCAGGTCAAGTTAATGGCCAGGAAAGCCGTCGGCCATGGGCGCTGGGGGACAGGCCTTCGGGGCTCTTAGGGCAGGCACTGCTCATGCAGGTCAAGTTAATGGCCCCGAAACGACCCCGCTCCCGTTGCCACTCGCCGGCTGGGGGAGAGACACTGTCACTCCAATTCCCCCCCCC